TGTATGTACAAGAATAGTTCAACATAATCTTGTACTATTTAAATATCAATAAAATGGGGTCTATAATTTTCCGTTTTATTATTTAATGTAATTCAGAAATAAATATTAAATATATTAAGTTTATATAAAAAGCTTTTACAGTTAAAAACAGATGCCAGCATTTGTGTAAATAAATATAAAATGCAGGTCATAGCTGTTTTTTTGTAAAGATCATATTGCATATAGCCTATAATGAAAATAAAATACGATCGATCATATTAATCAATAATTATTCAAAAAGTAAAAATACGGTAAAAAACACCGTACAGTTAAAGCGAAATTGAATGGAGGAATTTAAGTAATTGTAGAAGTCCAAAGTTCTGTAGAACTACGTGGCTGTACTTTTTGTATTGTTTCAATATTAAGCCATATTCTTGAACTGGATAATGAGTTTCTTTTCAGACCACTTGCCTTTATGGATGACGATTTAATATAAAAAATATGGATTGTGTCCATGTCATTTCCCCATAGTAAATAAAAACAAAATCACGTTGTTTGTTTTTTTATTGCCCAACTATAGGGGGAATTTAATTTACACAGTGTACTCACAAAATATCCAAGGAATGACATAAACCGAAATAACAAGTGAAATGGTTTCAAGTATGTATTTTCTGTGAACACATAATCGTTGTCATACAAATCTGAAAGCAAGCAGTTGCGGCAAGCAAGCCACCCATCTAAAGCAGATGCAGAAAAACGTTCGCAATAGAACCCGACTGTAAGTACATTAACATTATTAGTCTTAACTCTTAAATAACGCCTTTCATATTTCAAGTTTTTCCTACATTTTCCAGAGAAGTCCCCGGTGTAAAGGTATAACGGAAGCACAGATACACAGAAAGCGGAAGTTAGCTGACGTCACTGTGAAAAGGGCCTATTAGGAGTAGGGTTAGGGGTTGGTTTCTGTTGTAGCGTTCACCTTTTCGGCACTCCACCTTTTGCCATGCCCATTACTCCGACCTGCAGCTACCCCTGTCCAAGGCTAAATAGGCACACAAAGAAGTACAGCTCCTAATGCAGGTGTGTGAGTTGTAGTCATCTGTTTTGGAGTGATGGCAATGAGTTTGGACACATTACTATTTTTAATGTTCTTGAAAGAAGTCTCTTATGATCATCAAGGCTGCATTTACTATTTAATCAAATATACAGAAAGAACAAATAAACTGAACTATTCAGCAAGGATGTGTTAATTTGATCACAAGCGAAAGTAAAGACTTTCACTAAAACGTAAAGTAAAAAAAAAAAAAAGATTTAATCATCAGAATATCCTGAAAGAAATGATCACAGATTATAAAATAAATATTAAGCAGCACAGCTGTTTCTAACATTGTTAATAGGTCAGCATATTAGAATGATTTCTGAAGGATCATGTGACACTTAAGACTGATGCTTTGCATCACAGAAATAGATTATTTTAAAGTAAGGTTAGGAATCATATTTGTTTCAAGTGCTTTTTATTGGAGGTGGGGGGCCTCAACAACATGAATTATGCCTAGGGCCTCCAAATGTCTAGAACCGGCCCTGTGGCCTGTCCGCCACTGTCTCTCATGGAATTTGGCACAAAGTGATGAGCCAGGGTCCAGCTTTGCTTGCAAAGACTAAGATGCTCTTTTTATACCCAAACATGATACCCTCACCTATTACCAATTCACCTGCTAGTGCGAACTGTGAACTTATTTTTAAAACATTTTCATTTGGATATTCTATAACCATTTCACTTTTATTTTGCCTCGGTCCCAACTTTTTTGGAGTGTGTTGCAGCCATCAAAATCAAAATTTGTTCATATTTACAAAATGCATTTAAGTTGGCCAGTGACATCTTTTCTTTGTATTTTTGTCAATTAATCACAGATTCTTTCCTGAAATGTGGGTTGCACATATTTATTTATTTAAATTAAATTATATAATTCAATTAATTAAATGTATTTATATGTAATTCATAATTTACCAATTACAACGTCACCTTCAATAAACTGAATGTTGTCATTTATTTATTTATGTGTTTATTTATTTAGTGTGTGTGTGTAAAAGGACTGTGCTGATGGATATAGTAATATAATACATTAAAATGATTACATGTCATCTTTGATGAAATGTATTTTATTTAGGTTCAATCTAACTGAATATCTGGATTGGGTTAGGTTAAACCCCACTAAATACCTGCGTCTCATAAAACAACCGCACTAATCTAAGCGGAGACTAATCTAATCGATTCGTGAAGGGCCGAATGGTCACGAATGTATCCGAAAATGCGCGCGAGGAACCTGTAAACCAGGCAGGCGGGCAGGCAGGGAGACAGCGTGATTGAAGGGACTGTAGGCAGGCAGACCAGCAGAGAGTATCCGACCCCTCTGGAGCAGAAGTCCGCGAGACACAAACTCTGGATTCACAACAATAGAAGCTTTTCCTCTCTACCGTAGTTATAGCAACCAGTCTCAATAACGGGATTATAACGGCCGCGTGGCACATTAGTAGAGGAAGAGTCGTTGCTCTGTGGAATCAAAGAATTTTCCAGTCGATTTTAAAAGTGGATTTGTACGTGGCCAACTGAACCGGGTGAAACGAGCGGCTGCGGTGCACGGAAAGAAATGCAAACCGCGGCGGAACGGAGAGACGGTGAGTTCAATGCGTTTCCTTCTTCATACGGTCTTGTTCGTGACACTTGCTTTGCATAAAGAAGTACTTTAAAGGTGATTATTAGTTGCATTAATGAGCAAGCTTCTCAGCCACGAGGTTTGGAGTGATCGCGAAATTCGAGTATTTGTTACAGAAACTAACGGCTAAGCTAGTGTTTTAGCTAACCGAATGATTTAAAAACTTACAAATCTTTAGTTTAGGGTGGTTTAGTTACATGACCGTTGTAGATGAGTTCTTCTCCCAGAATAGCAAGTTTATGAGCAAGACTGACTATATTTTGTCGCTGTACTCTCATGTTAGAGCCTCGTGGTGTGCATTTCTTGTCAACCGTTAGATGAGGAGCAAGTGCAGGGCGCAGTGTAGTTCTGTCATGGACGTTAAATGAACTTGCTAATAATTATGACTCAAGAAGTTGAACTATTGACCACATGTAAGTGTATATAATACCCAGCGCATATTTTCTCGGGTAAAAGACAAACATACAGAACAAGTGTCGCGGGATATTCTCACGCCACTAAGCTGCATTTTCCAAAGACGCTTCATCTCATGTAAAATATGCCACATATTAGTGTCATGTCAATGCTTTGTTTACTTCTGCATACATTTGAACTGACTTAGTCTGGTGTGATTATGAAAAAGGCGTACAGAAATGAATTCCAAACACGTACATAGACAAGATTTAGTGCTTTTTTCCCCCTTCAAGATGCAGCCGTCAAGATGTGGATGAGCGTGCATGTTTTGAAACGCACACTCCCACATAGATATGTATTATACATGTTGGTCTTTTTTTGTGCAGTTTTTACCAAAACGTAGCCGTAGGCGGCCTTTAAAGACGATGTCTGCCGAGTATTTCTAATCGAATTAGAATCAGCTACATATAATGAGTTTTTACATGTTTCTAAATCGTAATATTGTACGGAACATTTCAAACCAACTCTTATATTCATCCATATAAGCCATGATATTTTGGTGGGGCTTCACAGAAATGCGTCTGCTGCGCTCTCTCGCGCTCTCTCTCTCTCACACACACACACACACACACGTGCGTGCACACACACACACGATGCGCAAAACTCCGCATTTGAACAGTCAATAGCAAATACTTAAACTAATCATTATTTAATCAAGCTTATGTTATTAGTACCTGTATGACTTTAGTTTTCCCTTGTACCACAAAAGGCGATGGCAGAGAATAACAGTTTCATACATTCACGTTCATAGCATCTTTTTTCCAGACATTGTAGATGGTGACTGAGACTGTCAGACTCTTACATTTTCTGTCAGCTTCTGTTGTGGAAGAAAGGAAGACATGCAGGTTTAAAACAACATGAGAGAGAATAAATGATGACAGACTTTTAATTTGTGAGTGAACTGTCCCTTTAACATCGCTCATGCAGCAGAACAATGCCACTCTTCTTATGCTATAGACATTATGCATTATTTGTTACCCTGGTTTTGTTGCCCTTTCCCAGGTCCTTCCACACAGCAATTCTGTCCGTCAGGAGTTATTTTAAGAAGGGAGCCTATAATATACATGACCATACTGTGAACAGTGCGGGCAAGAGAGTTTTTATTGAATAAAAAGCAAACAAACAAGCATATATGAGGAACTTCAGAGTGCTCATGAGGCATGTCAGCAATATCAGAAGATCTGGAAAAGCTCAAGAGCAAGTTTCGTGCAATTGCATCATAAGTCTGGAATAATTTGGCCAAAGACAACATCGTTTTCTTGATCCTGTGCAGTCTTCTGGTACTACTGTTCGTTTGGTCTGTGCAGTTAGTTTAATATTCTGTCAGTTCTGGATTTGTTCATAAAGACAGGACGGCTCCTGAGGCTAAAGGCTGGCTGGAGAAAATTTGTGGTCTATATTTTGACAGGCGTTAAGATGAACTGACCATATCGCCCCCAGAAGCACACGTGTGATTGGATCACAATCGCATTTATGTCATTGTATTTGTTGCTTTGGTAAATGACTGAACAATACAGTCAATAATTGTGACCTGCTGAAATAAAATGTAATAATAATAATAATAAAAAAAAGATGTGCCTGAAAAGGATTTTGTGGATACATTAACTGTAGGTCAGCATGTTTTACATTAATTATGTAAATGTCATGGCAGCTGTCAGTAAAGAGTGTGAAACCTTAGCAAATGCCCTGTAAGTAAGATATACAGTTGTTGTAATGGATCTGAGTATTTTTAGCAGTTTTGTTTGTGTCAATATAATTTGGTATCTTCCACCCTCTTACCTATTTTATTCTGGCAGAGGGAACTAATTGGCATGTTCAGAATGCTCCGCCCTCTGTTGCCACATGCTGAAAAGCCACTTGGTGCAAACTTCCCCCTTGCTGATGCCGTCTTATGGCTTCCATATGCACTGTATTTGGGTAATTTCAGGGCCTGGGCTCTAATGAGAGATTTTATTTCTGTAATGCATCGGTTGTGGTGTCGGGGATCAACATTTATAGGACTCCTATCTGGGAACTCAGAGTCTTTTGGACTTCTCAGTGGCACATTGGGCTCTGGCATGGGAATACACGGTTTTTATTTTAACAATTCAGCCTAGTCAACACTTTTTTTTTAGGAGTCATGTGGCACAGTCAGTGTGGTCGAAATAGTTTGTGTTGTAAACGTTTCAGTTTTTAGGCAAGTTCTGTTGCAAATCTGTTGATTGCTATAGTTCTGTTCACTCCAAGAAGGTCATGAGCACCTGAATAAAAGACAAAGCTTTGAAAGGCGACATTTAATTCCTTTACCCTTGAACACAGGGGTTTCTTTCTTGCTTCACTTGCAGGACCACTTAGTATATAAAAACTGCTTATTTAGAAACCTTTTTATACTGTCCAAAATAGAAATGTTTCAAATGTGTTTAATATGTCTCAAATGTATTTAAACTTCCATACTATCTCTCCATGTGGTATTTGGTAAAAGTCAACAAGCAAACAAGTATGTCTGATTTTTGCAGATGCACTGTTGATGTACTAAAGCTATTATTACATTTTGCAAGGTTTCAAAATGAATCACGAGGATTGATCACAAACATACGTTTGAAATGACATTCATTTTTGAGTGAACTGTTCCTTTAAAGTGGCCGTCATTTCTACACTTCACTTATGGCCTTGTAACTTGGCCTTTCGTGTAAGGGTTCAGTTGCTCACTTTCATTTGGAACCCGACACTACGAGTGCCAGTTGGAAGTATGGTTGGGTATCGATTGGGTTTTTTACGATACCAGTGCCAAATCGATACTTTTAAAACGGTACCGGTCCCTGAACCGATACTTTAAAAAAGAGCCACACACACAAAAAAAGATGGTTAACATTAAAGAACATTAAAAATATTAAAAATAAATATATATAGTATTCACATGCTTCTAGGATGCTCTCATTTGCCGAGTTGTGCTTCCCTTACACTAAGGCTAATAAATATATTTCATGATCTGGGTCATTATTTAATACAAAACAATATTTAATACAAAACCACACATAATATTTCTATTGTATCTCTGTCAATCACTGTGATATTTAGTAAAAATGAGTGAATTGACTGAGTGCTGTGTCACTGTCTTTAATCAGTTCTGTGAATGACCGTATGGTAGGCCTATGCCACATGCACTGTAATATGTTATATATTAAATATAACATTTTCAAATGAAAATAGCAACATGATCGTTTTATAAAGTATGCGTTCATATGTGTTGAGGGCTAGATTTGTGATGAGGGCACAGAAACAGCTGTGGTGTGATGAGGGGTAAACGCAGCGAAAATTTTACAGTAACGTTAGATGGGAAACCGATTGCTCCCTTGTGACCTTTTGTAAACTGTATGTATGACAAAGAACTGCACAGATACAGATATTATAACAATCTATCGATAAACACACAACTTGTGTCCTCTGTTTCTGTTTGAGTCTGCTCGCGCTGCGCCTCTGCGGATTGAAGAGCGCGCTGAAAGACGGGGAGGAGACGAATTCTGCCGCCGTTTTCATATGAAATTTAAAGGGGACTGACTCTGAGGCGATCATGAATTTGAGTACAGTTTACGGAGCTAATCGCTATAGCCCCGCTAAAAATGGCCTAGCGACGACCATGCTTCTTACGTCCATTTCGGAGAACCAGGACAAATATTTCAATCGATCGCTCACGCATTTAAGTGGTACTGAAATGAGGCACCAAAATCTGCGTTCTGATTCGGTTCTTGTACATACCGGTTACATAGGTACCAAACCCTAGTTGGAAGTCACTCATTGTCATTTTGAAATTACAAATGTTACGGAAAACTCTTAGTATTACGGGAGATGACTCTCACCCCTTGAAGGTTTACTTTGAGGTATTGCCCTCTGGAAGAAGATTCAGAAGCATTAGATGTTCATCTAATAGATATAAATTCACTTTTGTTCCAGAGGCTATACGTTTTTACAATTCAGTTTTTTTTTTGTTGTTGTATGGAATTTATTATGAAGCATGTTGGGTTGTGTTTTTTACTTATTTATTTCTTTGTATTGTCTAGGTAATATCTTATGTTTGTATTAAGTTGTTGTGTGATGCTACTACCCTACTTTAATTGCCCCTTGTGGGATTAATAAAGTTGTTAAAAAGAAAAAAAAAAAGTTTTCATATTTCTCAGCCTCTTTTGTGTTTAGAGGCCTGTGAAGAAGTTAAGTGTCTGGAAGCTAATTCTGTAGTAATTTGGCTGCTGATTGAAAACAGGTTCTCCATTAGTGGGCCTGCTGGTGGCATTATAAACCATTTACACCACAGTTTTATGGGATATCACCATTTAACGAAAAGTGGAACCAGAAACGGCCCAGACCCTTTATAAGAACGGTAGCTGAGGCTATCTTAAAGAGCCCCTCATGTTTTAGGTTCTACATTATTTGCCTTAAGCAAGTTATTTATTTTATTATTAGCAAAGTTACATCTTTGATGGCTTATGCTGAGAGGAAATTGGATAGGCCCTGCCTTGATTTATTTTGGAGAGT